CTCCTTTTTTTTCCCAGAGCTTTTCCTGATATACCACACTATCTCATCAAGTGAGATTTTGATGGGAAAGTGCTTTGTAACCTAGAAAATATACATTTTAAATAGTATTCTTCTGCTTACCTGAACTATATATATTTTTAAATGAAAATTGACGACAGTGTCAGTAAATATTGTTATGTGCACTAAGTGATCAGAATTAATGTTTCATCAATGTGTGTATAATCATGAAAGAGAGTCAATAAAAAGAATTATTTTTTTCTTCAAAGGAAATTTTTTGTTAAAAATATCTACTACATTGGGAAAAATGTGGGGAAATAGAATCTCTTGGATAATGCTAGTGGGAGTGTAAGTCAGAACAGCTTTAGAGAACAATTTGACAGTAACTATTAAAGTTGAAGATGTGCATAGCCCACAAGTCAACAATTTCACTTCTGGTTTATACACTAGGGAACTTCTCCTACATGGGCACAAGAAAACATGATGTCCATTACAGTACTGTTTTTAATAACAAAAATTGGAAAAGGGTGGAGGGTATAGCTCAAGTGGTAGAGCACATGCTTGGTATGCACGAGGTCCTGAGTTCAATCCCCAGTACCTCCTCTAAAAATAAAAATAAACAAATGAACTTAGCTACCCCTCCACAAAAAATAAATATTAAAAAAAAATTGGAAACAACCTAGATGTCCATCAATACAGTAAAAAATATAATCAAATTTTGGTACACTGATACAATGCAGTAGTACAGTGGACAATTTAAAAAAATGAATGAACTAGATCTACATGTATCAACATAGATAAATCTCAAAAATACAATGTGAAAACAGCAATTACAAAAGGATAATATATCCTCTAAAAATAAATAAATAAACCTAATTACCTCCCACAGCACTCCCCCAAAAAAAACTGAAAAAAAGTTAGTATAATATTAAACCATTTAGGTACATTTTGAAAACACAAAAATCAATGCTGCATATTGTTTGTATATAAATACACATATAATTTTTTAAAAAAACACACAGCAATGATAACACACCAATTTTAAAATAGTGGTTACCTCTAATGAAGGGTGAAGTAGAAAGGAGATTAGTGCTAGTTGTAACATGAATGCTTTAGATATACATCTGTATCTGTCATTTTTTTTTAATTGAGCTCTGAATCAAATGTGGCAAAATGTAGACCTGATTATTGGTCCACAGGTGTCTCTCATTATTTTCTGCTCTTTCTATTTGAACTATTTTATAATTAATGTTGCTAACCTAACAATCAAAATGATGTTAAAAAAATTAATTTCCAAAGAGAAATGCTATTTTCAGTAAGTCATAAAACAGTGTGTGTGTGTGTGTGTATATATATATATATATATATAATGAAATGAGGTATTTTGGTAATAAGTCTGATTCCAGTTATCAGATTATAAAATACATTGATCCAAAGTATATGAGCTCTGAAATCAAACTGCCTTAATTCAAATGCTGGCTCTGGCATTTGTAGGCTGTATGGCCTTAGATAAATCACTGAGCCTTCTCTGTATCTCAGTGTCAGCATCTGTAAAACAAGGATTCCAATAACAGCACCTGCCTTTTAGGGTTGCTATGATGATTAAATGAACTAATACATGGAAAATCACCTGGGGTGTTGTGTGTGAAAAATGTTAGATATTGTTATGTTCTGGCAAAAAAAAAAGTAGTTCATCAAAATTTAACCTGAGTAACCTTATTTATATGTCTACATTGTCCGAATGCATCAAATGGCCACTTACTTCTTATATTCTCTATCTTTGAGGACCAACCAACTAAGAATCCCCAACTGTTAGAATTTCTAGGAAATAGCTTTAGTTAATTAGAACATTTAAACAGAGTTCATCCCTCTCACACAACAGATTACTTGTGGTCAGAACTATCTGGTGATCTAGAAAGGGCAGCACTGTCCACCCAAATTTTATTTAAGTAACCAGATATTTTGTACATTGTCCATATGTGTTGACTAGTTGTCCAACAATTTCTCATCATTCTTATGTGTCTGTGTTAAACCTGCAACTAGAATATGTCAACAAATGAGGGGTGGAGTTTTTTAGTTAATTTACAATTTAAGATTTTGTAGTCTTTTCTTTCTCTTTTTCACTTTTCTCTTTTTTAAAAGTCCTCTGATAAGTTCTCATCAGAAATGACAATGTTAACTGACCATCCTGCCTAAGGATTTATGGTACAGAGCACAGGGGTCATTAAAGCAGGTTTAGCAGTGGGGTGTTTTTCTTTTTTTTTCTTAGAGAGATTGGAATTTAATTGTTTCCTTTTTAGACAAATATTCTTTTGGATTGCCAGTGATGAAAGGGGCATACAGATGTCAAAAGCGTTGTAGCACAGTGGGATTATGTGCTAAGGTCCAGGGCAGGACAGACAAACAAGCAAAGGCTCAGATCAGTCAAACAGTTACTTCTTAATAAAATCTCAAATGACCAGCTTTTGTTTTATCTTTGCCAATGCCTATCAAAAGTTCAAATGAAGTTTTGTTGTGTTAACTACTAAGATTTCTTTTATTTCTTATTTTAAACATTTGTAAAAACAAAGGAATTTCACTAGATAAAATCGGGAATTTGTTTAAAGGCAAGTCAATTTAAAATAAAACAACACATGCTATATACATGCCTTTCTTCCTATTAAAGCACCATAAGTTGGGCTTTAAATCGTAGCTTTAATTACATTATATGACAGGATCTATACTTAAATGTTCTCTTTTGGACATAGTAGAAATTATCTTTCACTCTACATTGCTCTGATATATATGAAAACAAAAATAATCATAATTTTACCTCAGTTTTCAAACCACATTAAAGGAAAACAATCTTATTTCCATGTAGGAAGGAAAAATCATGAATTGCATAACCACCATTCTGAGTACCAGGAGAATTCGTCACCAGCACTCTAGTTATTATTTATTTACTTTACATGAATTTTCCGTCATCAAGATCTTTGGGTGAATTTCTAACATACTGTGATTTTTATTTTTGAATTATAGTATGTAGCTTATACTTTAAAGCAAAGGTTGCAAATTGATAGCCCGTGGGCTAGATCCAGACCACAGATGGGTTTTGCTTTCCCTGCATAGTGTTGCTTTTTTGGTTTTTATTGAGTTAGTTACCAATATTTAAGAATTAGAGAATTTCATATAAAAATCTGGATTCCCAGCTTCTCTCAAACGGTTGGGTTTTAAAGACACTGGGCCTGCATTCCCACCTGGTAGCAATCAGCTGAGCTGAGTAGTAGCTGCCACCTTTGGAAAGAAAATACACTCTCTAGGTCACCACGGTCCCCACCACTCCCTGTTGCTTATGGTTTTTCACTTATGTTGCCACCCTTGCCTCAGGAGGCATTAGAGATTGCAACTGTCCTCTTTCTCTGCAGTTTATGTAAGTGAATCAGTACATATACTTTCAAAAATATTTCACAGTTTTTCTCAGATGACATTAAATGCAAAAATGCATTACATACAGATGTACATGTGTGTTCCAATAACTCTAGAAATAAATCTATACAGTTGTAAACTACTGTTCTGCTAAATTAAAAGAATAATTTGACATTAATTTGCATATCATTTTACTCAAAGACAATGAAAGTCAGTTTCAATGCCTGAATTCAATTGCATTCTATAAAATCAAAAACACTTACTTTCAATATCCCAAACCTCAATTCAAAACTCAATCCATTTAAAGCTTTTCAGTTAAAATTATTCATTAATGAAATCTGGTGGGTTCTAGTCTCCCCCAGCATTGAAGTCACAGTTTCAAAAAAGTTTGGCACTTAAGGAGGCACATCCACTGCTTCAGGTCACTTGGGTATTATTTAGTGTGCATGATATATGAGAGTAACATTTAGTATAGAAAATGGCCCAGATAGTAGAAGCACCACCATGGTGATTTTCATCTTCTAGGGTGAAAACTCAAGATAAATCGCATGATGTGGGCCCCATCTCTCCAACAACCCTCTGACATTTTTCTTGTAGAAAAATATGGATAAAACACGCATCATAGGAAGCCCTGAAGGAAGGGGGAAAAGCCACCAAATGGTGATTTAACCTGAGAAGGGTGTGTGGGAGAGAAGAGGGGGCACTACTGCCAGGCAATATCAAAACGTACTTTAGTATCATGGGTTGCCCTCCTTTTCTCTTGCCTCTCTGAGTTACTGCCCATCCTTTTCTCCCATCACAACCTAAAAGGTATGAAGCCTGGAGCAATGTGGTGTCTCTGATTGCAATTTCACTGAAATTGTCATAGACATTTTAGGACGTTTCAAGCATAGATCTTCTTAGAGTTCCAAATATTGCAAAAATGTATTTTTAGAGGGAAAGAATTTCAGAGATTTCAAAACTAGTAGCATGCCTACAATATACATCCGTGCCTCATGCTTAAAAAGATTCTAGAAAATTAGGAAGCCTGAATTTTTTTTCCATCATTGCTGTAGCACACTTAATAGCCTGCGCTGCCCTGCAAAAGTGAATGTACCTTCCTAAGCATTTCAGAACCATGGGGCAGGTGAATTACTCGCCCATTATTTTACACAGGTGTCATGATTTTTATGTCAGTGACCTTTACTCAACCCCCATCAACTTTGCAGCCCTTCTCTAGCTTCTGCTTTAGTTCCCAGGGAAGGAGTTGCTCCCTGTGGCTGGAAGGCATCTCCCCACTACACGGTCCCAGGAGCCACTCCCAGTTAACAGATATGAATGATCACTAACTGGCAACGGTGAAACTTTGAAGACCCCAATTAACTAGAGCCCTTAAATGGATAGACAAATTCTAATTAGCTATTTGGATTTCAGGTTTCTTATTATTAACTAAGGATTAAGCAAGATTCGATATTCGCTGCAGAAATTTTTAAATGGCTCTACTTTCCTACCTGAGTAAGTACAGTACAGGGAACAAAATTATTGAAGTTGGGCTGAATCTGTACAGGCTCCAGGACATTCCCAGGAAGTTGATTTTTAAAAAATAAATACATAAATACCTGTTAACAGCTTGTTTTCTTGTCATTTGCCTCTTCCTTCTAAAAGGAGAGTGTAGCAAAAAATAAATAAATAAAACTGGTTAATTGAGAGTTCTGGTTAGTTAGCGTCCAATTAATCAAGGCTTTATTATATTTCACAAAAAAATCTTCTTAAATTCCGCAGAAATTTTAGATAGGTTACACACAATGAAACACCAGCAGGGAAGAGCACAAAGAAGGTAAGAAAGCCTAAATTGCTATTAGATAGTATTTTAAATATATGAATAACGTCATTACATTTCTGGTCTAATCCCCACTGAGTAAAGAATAATGTGAAATGTCATGTAGTTTAGGGCTTTTCTATATATGAAGGCAAGGAAGTATGGTTATAGATTTCTGTTGAAGAAAATGGCCTCGGGTCGTAACAATTCCAAAAAAAGATTCAGCAATATTGTGCTTTTTTCCCTTTCTCTCAAGAGCCTTCCTTCCCATCCCATTGGGTATTCCAATACCTTGTAGGGAAAAAAAAATTCCCTTCTGTTTTTTTTTCTCATTTTTTATTTGGCCAACAGAACAATGAAAATAAGCCAAAATCAATGTTATGTCTTAATTTCCTAAACATGGAGCCATTAATCACACAGCTCACTATATACTTATCTCTGAAGCAATACTGAACTATCTTCCATCTTCCCCAAAAGGGTTACACATGCACACACACACACACACTCAGACACATGCACATACACACATACACATTCATACACACATCCGCACAAAATAAGTTAAACACATATAAAAGAGATCAGTAAAAAAATCCACATAATTAACTTAGTTAACAAACCAACTATTCTTTCCAGAAGTATAGTATTTCCTGGTGTTCATAAACCCTTTAATGAAGAACAACAAAATTTAAAATGACATACTATAATAAAATTATAAGGACAGTAATTTGGCTCTTTTGAGCCTTACCTTTAAGTAGTACAGAAATAGGAATCTCCCCTTAATGCCCACTACAAATATACACGATATACGTAAGTTCATCACCTCTTCATAATCTCTTCTTCTAAGAGCATTTTTCTTAAAAGACTCCTGTTTTATTTTGGTTTGTTTGTTTTTGAAAGGTAACTGCCTTCCTGCTTAAAGGTCTATAGAAATATTTTTAAATAAATCGCTAATGCAAACATGTATCTGGGGTTTCTGGGGAAAGTAAGTGGGAGTGAAGGAAGGTAAGCATTTTTTTTACCTACTCTTATGTTCTGTCACTTGATTGTCAGAACTATTTGATTTTGCTTTATAGTTCACTCACCCACTCTGCTTTCAAATGACATTTTCTTACAGTATACTCATACATACCAAGGCAATGATAATGTATACTTCTTTAATCCAATGGGCTGCCTATCACTAAATTCGAGGATTTTTTTCCTTTTACCGAGATCCCCCTTTTTAACTCATAAAACTTTCTGAACTCAACAGAACACTTTTGGCTGTCACCATAAATACATAATTATACTACATTAAAAATAATATAAATCTTCTATAGCCTGAGATTCGTAGATTCTTTAAACTTAGATTTTAAAATTACTGAATACTGAAACATTCTTGTTAGAATTATCCAATGAATATATAAACGCCCATGATTTAATTGTCCTTATGTTAAGGATTTTGAAATTTCTAAGAAAATTAGGAGCCTACTTTGACTTTTGAAAATTTCTCATTTGCCTTGTCAAATGTGAGAATCTATTTTACAATACTGTCCAACACTAGGTAAAACTCTGGCACCTTAGGAACTATAAACTAATTACATATATTTTATTTTTTATATTCAAAATAAAACATGAATTTTATGCTTCTGAATTTGTTCTTTTTGTGATGTTAACTAATTTATTTTCGATTTCCTTATACTTTTCCAAATGATCCAGATTTTAGAAAATGTTATGGAACAAACAGATGATGCTACAAATATCAGCTCAGTATGAAACAGCTCTCATCTGGGTTTCCTGGAGTTGGCCCAGAAAGTTTTATACCCCTTCCAAATCCCATTGTCTCTCAAAGTTACCTTTTTTGCTGCTTCTCCCCATTTCTAAATCTGGCTATGAAATTAAAACCATGAATAAAGTGCCTGAAATTCACTCAAACTTACCTTTGTGGGTAAAGCATACATATGACCACATTATGACGAAGACACTGACAAAATGGGGTTACACGTATTTAACAACATTGAGTCAGATGCTATACTCAATGCAACACTAATAGAGCTTTTATCAATTGAGGTCCTACAATACATGGTGGTAATTAGTAAGGGTCTCTATACAGTTAACTAGCTCCAAGCATCATCAGTGCTGCACTGCATTAGGACATTGATTATCCTTACTATAGAGAGACTCTCCTCAACATACTATGACTAGAAGGTGATTCTGCTCTGCTGAGACCCAAGGAATAGAAAATGAAGAGCTGGCTATATTTTGAATTTGTCAAGATCATTTTAACCCTGTACCACTGATAAATGAATTTTCATACTTTGATTCTTCTAACTTGTAGTGTGTGAATGCAAGGGAACAAAGTTAATGGTAATGGTTGCTATCCAGAGTACCCTTCTCTGACTGGGGTCAGTTTAATAGAAGAGTCATATAGAATTCTTAATTTTGAAACCTAAACTTAGATAACAGAATCACATTTACTAGTAGAGAAACGGCATATGAAACACATGACAAAAGCAACAAAGTAAAGAGTCCAATTAAGAACCCACAGACTCTCACTTGGTGGGGAGGGTATAGCTTAGTGGTAGAGTGCATGCTTAACATTCATAAGGTCCGGGGTTCAATCCTCAGTACCCCCATTAAAAAAATAAACCTAATTACCTCCCCACAAAATAAAAAAAAAAAACTCACAGACTCTCTGGACTTTAGTATTTCAGTCATGATGATGATAAATTGAAAATTCACTGTCAAGTATCACATAAGTCCTACCTCTGATGTGAGGTACCTAAATAGAATGCTAATTTAACTAATTCTTCAAAGAGGGGAAATTACTTAAAACAGAGCATTTTTATACAGTCAAGCTTTGAGAAGATCTACGCCAATGGATTTCAAATTGAACTCTAAAGAACTTCAGTAAATCGCCGGTGGGTAGTAGAAGGAGAGGTAAGAGGGAGTCAATCCCTTCAATTAGCAAAGCTCTTCTTTGTCCTATGTGATATATTGGGTGTCTGACCTGCTCTAGTTTACCACCTGTAACCATAACTACTTAACACATGAGGAGATTAGCCCCTGAGATGTTCAATTATTTGGCCAAGGTCACACAGAAAATTAGTATCAGAAGTCTCTAGACTCCTAATACACACTGTCACCCCTGAATGTGTCACCCTGCTTCCTCTACTGTATATGAGGGAACCACTTGTTGAACTCTCCCCAAAATACTGTCATATCTGTTTTATTCCCATGGAAACATAAGGCTGATAGACATGCTATTCATTTAGAGATTAGAATAGACAAAATTCATGGCTCCCTTGATCTCTATACTAGTGTTTCTTTCTAGATCACACTGCTTTTATTTTTTGTTTGTTTCTTTGTTTCAATTGAAGTATAGTCAGTTACAATGTGTCAATTTCTAGTGTATATACAGCACAATGTCCCAGTCATGTATATACATATATATACATATATTTGTTTTCATATTCTTTTCCATTAAAGGTTATTACAAGATATTGAATATAGTTCCCTATGCTATACAGAAGAAATTTGTTTTTTTTTAAATCTGTTGAGACATGGAAGCAACCTAAATGTCCATTAACAGATGACTGGATAAAGAAGTTGTGGTATATTTATAAAATAAAATACTACTCAGCCATAAAGAAGAATAAAATAATGCCATTTGCAGCAACATGGATGCTTTTATATACTTTTTAGAGTTTTTAATAAAAAATTGGGGGGAGGTAATTAAGTTTATTTATTTTAGTAGAGGTACTGGGGATTGAACCCAGGACGACCTACATGGTAAGCATGTGCTCTACCACTGTGCCATACCCTCCCCACTAGACCACACTGCTTTTAAAGCAGAGGTTGCAAACTGGCAAATAAGGCTTGCCAAATATATTTTATGTGATCTTCCCAGAGATTTAAAAACCTGGAGTTTTATATAACATGTAAATTCCTAGAAGGTTCTCTCTTTAAAAAGAAAAAAAGGAAGATCTGACAATACTAGCAAAGCACAACTAGATAAAATGGAGAAGCAACAGCTGCCCATAGACACAGCATGCAATCTCCTGTCCCCTATAGGTCCCAGAGTTTTCTATAATCTTATACCCAGTTCTGGTTCTCCAAATGAATTTATATTATTTCCCTGGTTCCAGTAGGAATTTGAGTTTTACAGTCACTATTTGAAAATTTGTGAGTATAATTTACTCAAGCATTAGTCAATTTCCCCAAAGAAAATGTGATGTATCTGGAAACTTTCATAGGTGTGTATGCTATTGATCAAGAATGCACTGAAAGTACTGGATTAACTATACACCTAAAAGGTCACATGAACTCCCTTTACTGAGGAAAGACAAGCCTCTGACTCTTGTAGTAGACACCATTTTACTATTTTTTTCACATACAGGAAAGCACCTAAAACAAGTTGTATTAGATGAAAATAGATTCAATAAGAAATAAACTCTGATTATACTCAGAGAAATAGTATCATTCAATCAGAATAGTAACCATATATTTAAAATTCCCAAAGGTCAATAAAAATGTTTCCTACACTTTGATATCTGAATACACTACAAAATGATTGTACACCTTAAAATATATAATTTTTACTTGCCAGTTACACCTCAATAAAGCTGGGGAAAATGTTTCTTATGCTTCTAAATGGGAGTCAGCTGTTAACCTGACATCTAAGGCCATATTGTGGGTACTGCTAAATTAGGCTTTAGCTGTTCTTCAAACAGACAAGATCTTTTAGTCTTCTAATGTGTTTTCTCTGGCCAAAAACAATAAACAAAACGTTGATCTGGGAACAAATGTAATAAATAAATAGGACTTAAATCAACCAATGCACTGCCTCTCCCTCCAACT